GGCATATTTAGCTAATCGATGTATGTAAAAACTCATTTATCTCTCTTTTTACATGTTTATATTCATAAGCTGTCGTAGATTTAAGTGCATGATTTTAACCCGTTATTTTAGTTGTTCTTATAATCAGTGGAGATTTCTTCGAATCCACTGAATTATTGGTTTTATTATTATTTCAGTTGTTTAATGATTTAATTAATATATAAATGCCCTATCGCAATTTATTTAAATAATTAAGTAATTATTCGATTTCGTAGTTAGTAGTTTTTTTGTTTTTTGTTTATTTATCACGCTCGTAATATCAATATGGTTTAGAAGGTGTTGCATTTAATTAAGGGTTTACCGAATTAATTTTTAGTTTTTTTGCATGCTGAGTTTTTCTAGGATTAAGTTTATTAATTAAAAATGTGGGTTATGTTCATAGATTTTAAGAGTTTTATTAGTAGAATATAATTGCGTAGCGCTTTAGAAGATAGTTTTGCATGTTGTTTTGTTTTTTCGTGTTATGTGTGTGAATTTATTTTCTGTTTATTTTTTCTGTTGATTATTTACACATTTACTCGATTATTCTTTTGACATGCTTATAATGCTTTCTTTTAATATACGTATGAAAATGTTATATATGTTTAATTATTACCTCTTCCCCTACATGCAGTTTAGCTCGTCCATTTCCAAGGAAATGGGCCTACACCCAAATAAATAATTTTGTTAGTGTCCAAAAGCTCGGCCGGGGTCAAAACTATTTGGGCACGACAACAGTAGCTTGATGCAAATCTATATATATAAAACAAAGTCGTGTTAGTTACACCATTTATAACTCAAGAATTTTATTTTTGTGTTGTTTGTGTTTTTTGATTTGTCTTCGTCGGGAATAGGATAATAAATAACATTTGGAAAATTAAGAAAAAAAATTAAAGATTCAACAAACAATACATACTAGAAAACTCATAGGCGTCGTACCGGGGCGGTAATTTCCAGCAGACTAGTAGTCATGGAACACAAAACATTATGTTGATTAATATTATTAGAAAATTAGGAAATGAACCAAAAACTAATAACTAATCAACTAAAACAATATATGTGTACACATATATATATAAAACAAAGTGAAACAACTACCTCAATAAATATATTGATATAAAATCTATAGCGCCTCTTATCTTTTTGATAAATTAATCATATTACTAGATACACATAAATTATCGCGAAATATATCAAAGCTCATTCCATTACTACAATTTTCTAGTCTTAATGCAGTTAAAAATGGACTATTAAAATGATGATACGCCTGCGGGATTTCGTAGTAAAAAGTTACTCTAGGTGTTCGACTAAGTAGGTACTTTCTCTTGGATATACAAAATTTATTTTTTCCAAAAATACTTGATAGCGTATTTTCATTAACCATATTGCACAGAATTTTTCTGTCATAGTGTCGATTTGTATATGGCTGATACATTTTGTAATAAAGGAACATGTTTACAAAATTTACTGAGTACGTTTTCTACAAGAGTAATGTAAATCTGTTGCTATGGTAACCATTTTGATCTGATGAATGAATAGAACAAGAGTTTTATGCATCGAATGTTCTTAAAATCATTCGTGTTTTTTATTATGAAACGAGTTTATAATAACCTCAATATGAGGTATGTACCAAAACAATTTTGAATCTATAATCACTCCAAGATCTTTAAACTCACTGCAGTGTTCCAAAGGGACACCATTTATATTGAAACAGAACTTATTTTTCAATTTTCCTAGTGAGAGACACTGCCCGGCATTTTTTATAACTGAATTTAACGAAATTTTGTATATCCCAATTCATCAGTTTATTTTATCCATATTGTGCTGCAGTTCTAGATCGAGGTTGTAACAGTAAATCACATTAATAATTTTCAAATCATCAGCATAAATCAAAGTTTTACTACCAATGTATTTCGTAATTTCGTTAAAAAATATAATAAAAACTAAGAGCCCTGTGCATTACCTTTTACTTCAAATTCAAATGACTTGGAACCACCAAATTCAACAAATTGTTGCCTTCACATTATTATAGATCTGAGTAAAAGGAGTGGACTATTACAGACACTATACATTTCTGATTTTCACAGAAGTTGTTCGGTCCAGTCAGGTAGACCGAAGGAGAAGGGGTGCAGCAGACTCCACCCTCTCACCCACCACCACCACTTGTAAATATGTAGATTTAAATAGTAGTAGATTCGAATAAACCGTCATGCAGAAAGGTTCGTGTCTCACTGAAACTATATTTATAGTTTCATCAACATCATTTGGTCATCCATTGTGACCCCTTAATTTTTTGGTCATCCATTGTGACCAATATTTGTGGTCACCCATTTGTGACCGCTGGTCCTTCGAACAAACACAAAAACTTACCGTTGGGTCACCCATTTATGACCTAACATTTGGTCCTTCGAACCGGATCGTCACAATTTCCGTCAGGTCACCCACTTATGACCTAACAGAATTAGACAATAATTAATTCTATCAAAGCTTTTGGCGAGATTTGTATACAACACATCTGTAATGTACTAGCTTAAAAAAGGGATAGAGAATGACAGTTGACAGAATATATAAGTTAGAAAAATGAGCTCGTGTAATTTGAGAAACTGACAATATTACCTACCCCAAACAAGACATCACATTTTGGCGACGAGTATTAAAAGAACTCAGAAGAAGACCAACGAAGCGAAAAACAACGAACACTCGGAACAGACAACAGGAGAAAAACATAACCTCAACACAACACGTGGTTCGCAACAAACGAATCGAGGAAAAGATAACAGAACATGGACACACACTCAACACCAGTACCTCCATTTCATATAGCAGAACACCCCAATAACGTTGGCTCAAGGTGGGAAAAGTGGCTCAACCGTTTTGACAACTATCTCATAGCAGCAGGCATCGATAATGAAGACCGAAAGAAAGCCATGCTTCTCCACTACGCAGGCGAAGAGGTTCATGATTTATATTTGTCACTTCCTGAACTACCAGTAAACACAGTACAACCCAATGAATCGCCTTATTTAACAGCTAAACGAAAGCTCAAACAATATTTCACCCCTAGAGTCAACAAAGAATTTGAAATGTTTAATTTTAGGCAAGCCAGACAGAGCGAGAATGAAACAATTGATCAGTTTTACGCAAAGTTACTGAAATTATCTAAGACTTGCACGTTTGAGAACCCAAATGAAGAAATCAAACTTCAAATCATCATGAACACGAAGTACACAGAACAACGTCGATATGGACTCACTGAACAACCCAATCTCGATGATCTATTGAGCAGAGCACGTACAATTGAGTGCACAGCTAATCAACTGAAGGTCATTGAAGACAAGATTGTCATGAACACAAGCACAGAAGAATGTAGCTACCTAAACAAACACAAGCAACACAGAACCGCACCAGCCAACAATGGTACCAGTAAGAACAATTGCAAAAATTGTGGAGGCAAATGGCATCCAAATGGGAGGAGAGCTTGTCCTGCTCTAAATGTAATTTGTCGAAGTTGTGGCAAGAAAGGACACTACGCCCGAGTCTGCATGTCCACTACATCAACACAACAGCAACAAGCACAATCACGAGCAAACCCCCAGCACAACAACCATGGCACAAATACTAGCATAAACAAGAAACATAATGGAGAGAGGAAGAACAGAGCACAAATTCGCTTTAATGAGCTTAATATGGAGCCAGAGTCAACTAATTCTGAGACATCTTTCAAAACAACAATTCGTCCAAACGACAGAACAGCCATGAAATGCCCTCAGGTACATGTTAAGTTGAATGGGAAAGTAATCAATTTCATTGTAGATACTGGTTCATCTGTTAATCTGATAAGCTCAAACACATTTAAAGAATTTCATCAGCAGTCGTTACAACCAGATTCCTCATCGATTCTCCCGTACAACTGTCAACAACAGTTAGAAGTAGTTGGAAAATTCAAAGGTTTGTTCCATTATAACAACCACCAAACGCGAGCAGATGTATTTGTGATAAAAGGCAACAGTGAATCATTATTGAGCTACGATACAGCAAACAAATTGCAGCTGATACAACTATCTATGATGATATATCAACCTATGGACATGAACTATATCAAAAACAAGCATCCTAATTTGTGTAATGGCATAGGTTGTCTTAAGAACCAAACTGTCAAGCTACATATTGATGAGTCAATTCCTCCAGTAGCAAATAAACACAGGAGAATTCCAATAAATCTTCGTGGAGCAGTTGAACAAGAGATAACAAGACTGATGAAACAAAACATCATTGAAAAAGCAACAGGACCAACTCCCTGGGTTTCACCAATAGTTGTAGTTCCCAAACATCACGATCCTAACTCTATCAGAATTTGTGTAGACATGAGAGAGGCTAACAAAGCCATACTTAGAGAAAGGCATCCAACACCAACTATTGAAGAAATATTTGCCCAGTTAAATGGCGCAACAGTCTTCTCAAAGATTGATTTGAAAGATGGCTACCACCAACTAACATTAGAAGAATCTTCACGGTATATAACAGTTTTCTCAACACATATATCCCACATAGCACATTACGTCCGAAGGACATCCCGGTTAGTGCCCATGCTGGATTATCCCATTGGGATCCTTTGAGGACAAGCTTAGGAATCCCAGTTAGATCCCAGCGCCATTATCCTAAGGAAGTAGCAATTTGATGGTGGTGGGATATTCCAATGGGGCAATTCTGGGATCTATTTGTAAAACATATTCCTCACGTGCAACTTTTACGGAAGATACTAGAATAATCAAAGTCTTACATTTTTTCAGTTTTAATTTCTTATGTAAAAGTGTTTTTGTGAGAAACTATTATCTGGGAAACCCACACAGCGAACAGACTGCGTTAAAATGGTCACCTGGCGCCGTGTTACAGAACTATATCGCTGCTTGTGATCGCTGCCGCTGTTCTCGTTTGCGCAATATTGCGCTGAGGTTGAGGTTATGTGGTGGTTGTGTGTTGTGTGTTGTGTCTGTGTGATTCCGTTTGTTGATGGTACATGGCCGCTGTTTTTGTGGCAGAGATTATATTTAATAGTGGATGGTAATTCAGGTAATAGAATTTTCAGTAAATATATATTCTATTTTATATTGTAGATGATAGCAATTTGATAATATTGTACATTTATAGATAACCCACATGCATACATAACCTCAAATTATGCCGAAATCCCGCTCTTCGTTTTATCGACATGTGAGACAGTACAATTCATTTATTCTATCTTGCACTGAGAATAATGTCGTTGAGAACAATAATCCATTAAATAGAAACCAGTATGAAAGTGCACAAGCAGTTGCAACAAATTTGGAAATTACTGAAAATATTCCATTACCATCAACATCGGCTAACATCGATGAAAATATTGAATTTTGTTCAGTTTTTCACAGTAGTTATTGGGAGTTATCTGATTTAGATGATAGTAGTAATGAATCTTTTACAGATTGCAGTAATACATTTTTGGTATCTAGCTTAGATTTATATCAACAATCCAATCATTCAACTTCTGAGGACAATTGTTCTAACATTACTAACGATTTAAGAGAATGGGCAATTTCTCATAACGTGTGTCATAACACTTTGAAAGAGTTACTAAAAATTTTAAAACCAGTTATGCCTAATTTGCCGCAAGACTCTAGGACATTCCTACGAACACCACGACAAACTTTGCTTAAATGTGTAAATCCAGGAAAATATTATCACTTTGGTTTAGGAGAAGGTGTTAAATGGTTACTTGAAATGTCTCTCCCACCACCATCTGTACAAACAATTGAAATTTGCGTTAATATTGATGGGTTGCCATTATCAAAAAGTTCCAATTCTCAACTATATCCTATTTTGATATCACTTTTCCCTCAGAATAACTCCATTTCAATGATCGGTATATATCATGGTAATGAAAAACCCAAAGATTCGAATCTATTTCTAAAAGATTTTGTAGATGAAGCCATTATGATGGTGAACCACGGTTTTGAATTTAAGGGAAAAAGATATTACTTCAATATTAAAGCTTTTATTTGTGATGCACCTGCTAAATCCTTTATAAAATGTACCAAAGGGCATACAGGTTATTATTCATGTAGTAAATGTTGTCAAAGGGGCTTATTTGATAACAACAAACTATGTTTTCCTGACATAATTTTTGTTAAGCGGACAGATGAAGACTTCATTTCACAGAAACAAGAAGAACACCATATTAATACTTCTATTTTAACGACCATTCCTAACGTTGGTCTTATTTCTTGCTTCCCATTAGATTACATGCATCTTATCTGTCTAGGTGTTGTTAAAAAATTATTGCTGTTGTGGTGTAATGGGAAACCACCAAATAAATTATCTTTTGGTCAGATTTCAGAGTTGTCAAATTCTTTAATTTTACAGTCCAGAAATATTACTCGTGATTTTTGCCGAAAGCCTAGATCTATACTTGAAGTTAAACGTTGGAAAGCAACTGAGTTTAGGCAATTTTTATTATATAGCGGACCAGTTGTTTTGAAAAATATATTACCACAAAATATGTTGTTAAATTTTATGTCTCTTCATACAGCTATGTTCATTTTGTCAAACCCATTTAATTTAACACACGAAAGAGTTAATTACGCTGACTCTTTACTTAAATATTTTGTAGAAACATTTATGATTTTATATGGAAAATGTAACGTATCCCATAATGTTCATAATTTATTACATATAGCTGATGATGTTCTGCAATTTGGAAGTGTAGACAACTTTAGCGCTTTTCGTTTCGAAAACTACATGCAATTTATAAAACGCCTTGTAAGGAAACACGACAATCCGATTTCACAAATTGTACGCCGAATTTCAGAAATAAAAACATTTAGTCAGCTTTGTCGCACAGGGATAAACCAAAGTAAAGTTCAATTGAAAGAGCACTTTTCGGGCATTTTAATAGATGGATGTTATTCTCCCCAATATAGTAACTTTCATTTTCCTAAGTTTCAGCTGAAGATTATCGCTCCTGATAACTGCTGTGGTTTAAAAGACGGTAATATTATTATAATTGAAAATTTCGCAACTAACGCATCAAAAGATGTTGTCATAATTGGAAGAAAATTTTTAAGTGTAAGTGATTTCTATTTAGAACCTTGCAAGTCTTCATTAGTAGGAATTTTTAAAGTTCGATGTTTGGGGGTATTGGAATATTGGCCAATTTCCAATGTAGATATAAAATATGTTAAATTTAATCTAGATAACAATAGTTTTGTCGTTGTCCCTCTTCTACACGGCGTTAACAATTAGTCCCTTTTTGTGTGTGATTTCACAAGTAGTCGTTTACTGGATTTTGACTTTTCTTTATCCTGAAAGACGTCTTGTAATAAAATCAAATCATATTAAATTGTGCAGAACACGAACGAAATTTAACATTTAAAATGCCGTAAATATATGCATCGAAGCCTAATAATGCCCCACAGAAAAATGTATTATTTACTTTGTCAGCGTAACTATTTTATGATTATCTGGGGCTATTCTTTTGTTTTTCTTCTGTTATGCGTGGTGATGACTTTTTGATCAATCATAACTTTTAGAATGTGGGTGGTAGTATTATTTCAAAAAGAAAACTCTCTTGCTGTAATACCAAAATGTTGGTTAATGTTTGACAATGATAAATGCTACTGGCCTCCAGTACCAGACGTGTCGAATTACGTCTGTAAGTGCAAAGAGCCGGATGGTAACTGGCATGTATTTGGGGTAAGAGTTTTAAACAATGGAAAAGTGTATGGTAATTTACAACCTGTCGAAGTTTAAGCTTATTGTAACTTATTGTTTTTTTAGACAATTATTTGAAAGCACGGGCAGCTGCTCGTGCCGCAGAAAACACGTCAGATATAAATACAGAATCTGAAGATCAAAAGAAAAGGAAACGGAAACCAAAAAAAATTTATAGTGATTCTTCTTCTGAAGATGATGATATTAGCGTCTATTCCAAGGCTGCATTCCCACCTTTGCCCAATGCCCCAACGCGTTTTGCTTGTAAGTTTCATTTGTTAGTATACCCCTTTTAGGCATTGTTTTCTTCAGCCTGTTCATCGTCAGAACCAAGAAGTGCAATCTCACAAAGTTCCTCCGAGTTAAACAAAAACGGTAAAGTATTTAAAAGTAACGTTTGTTTATGCCATTCTGATTATTTCAGACATTTCTTCTTCTGTTTCTAAAGAAACTCTCACAGATGGTAAGTTCCACGCATTTTAATGTGTTGTTTTGTAGTGTTCTTGTTTCAGTGTCCCCGTCTACTTCACAATCCCAAAGACTGATTGAAAAAACTTCAGATGGTGAGTTTCCGTTTTGTATAATTACGTCTATCATTAAATCCATTCTTAGATTTTTTGCACCGACTGCGACACCAACTTTCTGTCATGAATTTTAAAATCAACAATATACAAAGTGACATGACAACTATCATAGATCTGTTAAGGAAAACACAAGAAGTGAACTCAGGCCAAAGTGACTTTAATTATGAACCATTACCCTTGCAAACTTTGCAATCACTAAACGAATTTGAGGACTATTTGCAAATTGAGGACAATTTCAAAAAATTTGTATGTTTAAATTTTTAACGTCAATATTTTTTAAACTTTGATGGAATTTTCACATTGCAGACTTTGTTTGTTCAGAAAATTGGAGGTTCGTCCATATATGAATGCGTGAAGAGGGTGCTTAGAAGAGTTATGGTTGACGAATTAGCGACAAAATTCTCATGGAACGGCAAACGACAGAAGCGGGCTTTTGAAGGATTGAATATACAAAAAGGATTAACAAGTTAGTAATATATACTCTGTTGTTTTTGCTTTTTATCTGTAATGTTGTGTCGGTCTTTTAAGGTGGAATTCAAGCAAACGTTACCACAAAAAACTGTTCAGAGAAGGATGTGGAAGCTTCCATTAAAAGTTGGTTACGCCATGCGAAATCAAGAATTAAAATTTGATTAAGTAATACGTGATACCAAAAAATATTCATTCGTTAATAGTTTTTTTTTATATATATATAATCATTTCAGTTATTATAGAAATAGGTATTTTATTTTTTAGATTATTCATATGAAATATTTTTGTAATATATACTTACTAATTAAAGAAAAAATTAAAATTGAATCGTTTCATGTACCCAACAGTAACAATAAACCCATATCCTATTTTTGTCCTCGTTTTGTTCAAGGAAAATATCTGTGGGATGTAATACGGAGATCTAAAGTTGTCTCATTCCAATGTCCCAGGCATGTCCCAAGGAGAATTTGGGAATACCCAGGGACATCCCGTAATTCCGGCACAAATCTCCCAGGTTAGTCCATGGGATACATTTGTGCTATATGGGATTGGTTTGTATCAATATAAACGACTGAGTTTTGGGATAAATTCCGCTGCAGAGATTTTTCAAAACACAATAAGACAACTGTTAAACCAAATAGATGGTGTGTTAAACATCAGCGATGATATACTAATCTTCGGAACAACTCAACAAGACCATGATAAGGCTCTCAAGCAAGTAATAGAATGTTTGGATAACCATAATTTGACAATCAACACAAAGAAATGCATTTTTAACACAAACAAAATCGATTTCTTTGGATATGTATTCTCTAGCAAAGGCATTTACCCTGATCCAGACAAAGTCAAGTCTGTCTCTAACCTAGAACCGCCCAGAAACGTACATGAACTAAGAAGCTTCCTAGGAACGTTGAATTATGTTGGAAAGTTCCTGCCTCACTTAGCAACAAATACTGCAATATTACGTAAGCTGATTACAAAAGATGCTCAATGGGACTGGACTGAAAAGCATCACAGCGCTTTTAATGATCTTAAGAAACAACTAGAATCAGCACGAAACCTCGCCTATTTTGACCAACAGAAAAAGACGCACCTCTATGTAGACGCTGGTCCCATAGGACTTGGAGCGATCCTTTCGCAAGAACTTAACAACAAAACAGAAGTTATTTCGTACGCTAGCAGAACATTAACTTTGACCGAACAGAAATACGGTCAAATAGAGAAAGAAACATTAGCAGCAACATGGGCCATACATCACTTCAGAATATACCTGTTAGGAGGTCACTTTGTGTTACACACAGACCACAAACCCTTGGTCTCAATCCTACAGAACCCTCGATCAGCTCCAAACGCACGCATTGAACGACTTTGTTTGAAACTTCAGCCTTATAAATTTACAGTTCAATACCAAAGAGGCATAACAAATCCGTCTGATTATTTATCTCGTCATCCAACACACAGCCCACCAGAAGCATATGATAAAAGTGAAGAATACGTAGCTTTTGTAACCAATCATTCACTACCAAACACAATTTCACTTGAAGAAATCGAAAATGCAATGAAAGATGATTTTCAGTTGCAGCTACTGAAAAAGGCCTTGTTAGAAGATGATTCCTTGTTTTGGAAGAAACGAGAACTGCAAACATTCAAGCAAATCAAACAAGAGCTCACTGTATATGGTAATATTATTCTCAAAGGCAGTCAAATCGTAATTCCCAGCAAACTGCAGAAAAACATTATCAGATTGGCACATAAAGGTCATCAAGGTCTCGTTAAAACCAAACAACTGGTAAGAACTAAGGTATGGTTTCCCAACATCAACAAAATGGTAGAAGAAGTAGTGAAGTCATGTACAGCATGTCAAGCAGTGACACCCTACAACCAGCGAAATCCGATTCAAACATACCCGACATCCACTCACCCGCTTGAATGTCTAGATGTAGATTACGCCGGACCATTTCCAGATGGAAAATATTATTTCATAATGGTGGATGATTTCTCAAAGTTTCCATTCGTCAAAAAAGTACCATCGACCAATTTCAAACAGCTGAAGCCCGTACTTGACGAGACATTTGCACTATTTGGCCTACCAAAAGAACTTAAATCCGATAATGGATCACCCTTTAATGGATACGAGTTGAAAGAATATCTTTCAAGCCTTAACATCAAGCATCATTTGATAACACCACGTTGGCCAGAAGCAAATGGCAGAACTGAGAGATTCGTGAAAACGTTCAAGAAAGCCCTCTTGTCCTCTTGTGCGCAACAATCAACAGCAATAATCCAGACGCAGAAATTCAAGAATTTTTAATCAATTACTGAAGCACCCCTCATTCAACAACAAACTGCCCACCATATCAAATTATGTTCAACAGAGAAATCAACAACTTCTTACCCACTCTCAAAAACAAGACGATTCATGAATACAATCCCCAAACGGACATCGACAACAGAAGAAAACAAAACGAACGCGCCAATCGTAAAAGAAGGACATTTGAACATGGCTTACAACTTGGACAAAAAGTTCTTTGCAAACAACAAAAGAAGAATTCGCTGACTCCACTCTTTGATCCAGATCCATACACGATCACTAGAATCACCGGTTCTCAAATTGAAGCTCGACGAGGAGAAAAGGTGATTGTCAGAAATTCATCATTCTTCAAGCCACACCACTCAGCACAGAGTCCAAGGCCAGAGTATCACCCCTCAACAAGTTTGGCACCCAGTCGATCTTCCCAATCTGAACAAACGCGAGCACCGTTCCCCACAACACCTCCAAGGTCGACAGCTCCAGCCACGACACCCCTTAGACAAGACAACACGGAAGACAAAGTAAACAGTCCCCCAAATCAACGAGTCGAGACGCCCACTGAACGACGTCCCCAGCGAGACAGAAAACCACCGTCGAAGCTCCGGGACTATCTTGTAGAACTCTAATGGCATGTGCGTCATATGAGTTATTGAGTTTAACTTTTATTTTGTATTTGGTATGTGTTCTTTAATTTTCAGTAAGGGAGGAAATGTAATGTACTAGCTTAAAAAAGGGATAGAGAATGACAGTTGACAGAATATATAAGTTAGAAAAATGAGCTCGTGTAATTTGAGAAACTAACAATATTACCTACCCCAAACAAGACATCACAACATCTACGTGTAATTTCTTGTCTAATGTTGACGAAACAATCTGACTAAATTCATATAAGTTAGTGGCCATTGACCTGCCTTTTAAAAATCTGACATATTTTAGACACTTTCCAGATAGATGGATAATTACATGTTTCCATATCTAGTTTATGTACAGAGTCATCAAAATTGATTGAGAGAGTTGGTAAACCTGAACTTGAATAATTTGGTTTATTAAGTTGTATAAAAATATTAGCTGTCAGATTTGAAGTTTCAAGTTTCAAATTTCAAAACTCAGTGGCGTCTTTTTTCGACTTTTTTTTTGGTAAAAACATTAGTTGTCAGATTTGAAGTTTCTAATTTTTGTCACGCCACTGAATTCATTGCCATATAACCTTAAACAAATCTGTCATAAGGTTGACAAACTTCACGGCAAAAACAGGGGGTACCAACTCTCTCAATCAATGTTGATGACCCTGTATAAATAGTAGTAGTATAAATATATTGGAAAGGTACGACGAGATACTGAATACAATCGACCAAACCAAACGCTGGAACGTAATCTGGATCACAAACTTGATTGCCTTTAATTTTCTTAATTGATTTAAAAATATCATGTCGAATCCGACAAAAATGTAGCACATTCATAATATCATGAAACTTCAAAGGACCGGAGACACAACTCTTCTTGCCACAAAACACGCAAACATAATTATTCATTACCGTTATCATAGGCAGTATCACTTATGCTGTTGTTGCAGAAAACCCTTGAAAAGTGACTAACAAATGCATTTCCTATGTCTTGTGGAATGGACAAGATGTTATCAGCATATGTTATTTCAGCTGGTTTTTCCTTTCCATATTTACAAATGATCATAATTTACTAACATTATGCGTCAGAGAATTTTTTACATGTGTTGCTATGTATAGTGTCTGAAATACTACAAGGTTATATGGCCCCACTAAACTTAATAATGGGATGTTATAATTCCTTTTGTGCGGCTAGTTAGCGTTATAAATCAAGGATTTGTCTCAATATCTTGCCACCTTAGTACCTACTGCTGGGTAATTCGCTTAAAAATTTTTGGTACATTAAACCAACACAATTTACAACTGTTGGTTTGCCTTATTACGTAATTACTCCATTGTCATCTTCACAATACCTTAATTTTACAGTAGCCATATAACCATGTAGTATCTGGGACACTATAGAAACTTACATTCAGATTACAAATATTTCTTCTCCAAAAGTTACTGGATAACCGTGCAGAATAATATGTAGATTACCAACAAGTGGCATTTACCCTAGATGCAATTGTGGATTTTTAAATTCCAACATTTTTTTCCATATAAATGTAAAATACCTTTAAAATTAACTAAAACATCTTTGTAACTTGCATTACCTTTTATTTTTTCATAAAAGACCAAATCTGTAAAAGTATATATGTGTATACCTATGTGGTGAGAGAATTTGAGAATTTAATACATTTAGTCAAGCATGTCTTGGTTACAATTGATGCTTATTAGATAATTATAATTAGAATGGTAGGCTGCTGAGGCTTAGGGCCTTTTCAGCACCGTATATGGGGTGTTCAGTGTATTTCAAATAACTGCAAATTTCAGCCCAAAGTGAGTTCTAATAGACTGCTGAAAAAATTTTTCAGTAGTCCACAATCCTAGGACATTCTGTACATTTATTTCTATGGATGTCGAGGAATGATCTGTTTGTTGCGTATGTTTGATGTTTCTCTCTTATTATGTTTCAATTATATTATAATTTACAATCTAATTGTTAGGAATTTGTATGAAATAACTTTAATAACGTATTTTTTGGGTTTGTAAACCATCATTAACTAAGTAATAATGATATCTGTTTTTAGAGAGTAAATTTTTAGTTTCCTTTATAATCTCAACATATATTTAGGTACTTCCTAAGTTTATATTTTACTTGTCATCGCATTCGTTCCGAATGTTTAACTTTTTAAATCTTGAAGGTTTAAGTAGAACTTAAAGGCTCAATATCTTTATATTTCGAAGCCTTGTCAATAACTTCGAAGCCTCAACTTTTTAAATAAGTACTTATAAAAAAGACAGTAAACTGTAATTTTTAGTAATTTATTATTTATATTCTGTTGTGTCACGATGTTGGCATTGATTTCAAAGTTTACGGGCCAGTTTCTAGAATATTTTAATTGAGAT